AGAGCGGTCACAATTCCAGCAGATGAGAAATGTCCAAAAGAGCTTTTCCCTTCCTATGCCTCAAGAACAAAGTGTCAAGGCAGCCAAGATCTAGAGTCGCTCTACCAGACTGGCCTGATCAATGGAGCCAGAACATGAACTGAAATCCTGAACAGTGGCATATGTTAGTCTGTAGAGCCAGTTTAAGTAATTCAAAAACAGGTCTCTTCTTTCCCAAAAATGCAGGGATTTTTAGGGAGAAAGGCCACGTAAGCTTATTCATATTAATATCATTCAGAAAAGTACAGCTTCTCCCTTTAACAAATACTGACATGTTTTATAAAAATAAGTATTTTCTATTGTACTTCTGAATCAGATTTCATAACCCAAAAGTTACAATTAAACCAAAAAACCACACTGGCGTTTTTTCAGATAGTAACTCTGAATCATAAACATATAATTTAAAGATGATGTTCCTGGAGTAAGTGCATTTTGTTTCTGTTTTATGCTAAAATAAAGACTTGCTTTATTAGTGTAAATGACTAAGTTCTTTGAATTGCTTCATCAGTAAGATTAATTTATTTTCTTTTAATTAGGTCCCTGTGGCTAATATTGGCTAGTACTATTAGCATGTCCTGCACAGAAAGTGGAGCTTAGAGACTTCATACAGACTTCAGTCACATTTACATGCCCACAGCAATGGCATCAAACTGAGTTGTAGACAAGCCATAATTAATGGTATTGAATTATTAACGTCCAAATTCTTTTTGAAATAAGATGAATGTCAGTCCTTTTTAATGATACTGTGATGTGGACAAATGTCACTGAATTTAATAGAGGTAGCTGGTGCCTAAGGACACTTACCTTCTCATTAGCCCTGTTGAGGTCTAAGATCAGGGCATCAACATTCTCCTGCAAGACTGCACAAAGCTCAGACCAAGAGAATCTATCTAGGATGCCTTCTGGTTGTTTTATAAGCACACAGCCTGCTACCAAACGCTGGTATAAGCTATGGAGGAAGGTTAGCTTCTCCTGAGACAAAAAGAAAAATTAACTGTTATATCTGAACAGTGCTAGAATCCAAAGAGATGCATCATATGTGTAGTAGTGAGCTGCACACAGCTGAAAAACCCCCACAAAGCTCATTCTCAAACCTTTTCAAAAGCAGTATTGATATTTGCAGTCATACACATTAAAGCCAGAGTAAGAAAACAGTTTTCACAAAATTTGTCTAATTAGACACAGTATATAAAAAAAGCCCAATCCTGCAGTGATCGCAGCCATGACCCGACACAGATAAAAATTTCCATGCTATTAGCTGATGTAATTTAAACATTTATGTTAACATTTTCACATACATTCAAATTGTACCTACTTCCAATATCTGCATGGCACACAGAAAATTGACTGGCTTGGCAGCACAGCACACTGTTTATACAACTATCACTCTGAAGTATTTTAAATTTGTTTTTGCGTGGATTATGTATAACTAAATAGCTAGACAAAATAGGCTTATAGCTTCATCAGTTAAATTCCACAAGCCATGCCTCATTAATTTACACTAATTTTAGTCAGTAGTATAATAAATTGATGCAAGTTATAAATAAAATCTAGCAACAATAGCATGCAACAGAAATTCCAGCCTTCATCGTTTTAGTACGTATATGCAACTTTGCAACATTGATTAAGACAACAATAGAAAGCTATACCTCAAAAGCCACAAGAAACAGCCTTTACTCAAAGCCTGTAAACCATTGTAAAGGTTCCCACTATTTTCCAGGGGCCTTGGATGAGGCTTTATATCAAGAAATTGTGGATGACAGAGATGGGGAACTATGTTTTTTCTGAACCCTCCCCATTAGACTTAGGTGCATTTTCTCTCAATTATTTTATGGTATTTTAGGAAATAAAAAATTGTAGTTTAGTTTAGTTTAACTTTGTTTCTAGCAGATCTCCTAATTCCCCAAGGAAAATCCCGTATGCCACGATCATTATGTTTTTGCTTGAGCTGTGATAAACCAAGGATGATAATTATCCATTTGGCATGAAAAAAGGGATCCCAAGGCCCAAAATCAATTCACACATGTTGAATGCAACCACAGTGTTGTAGACATGCTGACTTTACAATATAGCCAGGCTTCTAGTTTCCTTCACTTTAATCATCTGATGTGTATAACAATTCCAGCTGCTTCATGTGGACACTATTTAAATACCAGGCTGCAAAAGAGGTGGAAAGAATGTTTCCTTTTTACTCAGTTGGCATCCACGTCCAAATTTGTGAAAGTAATGAGCTCAATATGCACGACAACTGTGATAAAGAGTATCATTGGTATTGCTAGTACAGAACTGCTTTATTGGGGCGGGGGGGAAAGCAACAAAATTAACATCTGTAAACAAATATAAGGAGAGAGATAATAGTTCTATAATAAGACTTAGTGAAGCAATTCCCAAGTATAGCAAACCACAATGAGTTAACATGTCACAAGTAAGAATTTCTAGGGTTTGTGGTGCACAGGCAAAACTACCTCAATTCCACATTTGCCATCTATCAATTCCCATATGAAAGGGTGATTAACTACACATGATGATGATACTATTACATGTTCCAATTGTAAAACATTTTTGTTAACTTTGAATTTGAAACAAAGAAATAATTGTTCGTCAGGCGCAGCTCTTTAAATAAACTAATTTGTTCAAAAATTCAAAATACTGGAAGGGTTAAACTATTAGTTCTCACAGAGGAGGATCTGGAGAAGGATTACAGGTCAGCAGGAGAGCACCTGAGGAGCAGTACAAAGGAATTCCAGCCACTCCAGCCAGTAAGTCAGCTTCATCGGGGCCCAGCTTAAGAGCCTCTATGCAGATGCATGTAGCATGGGGAATAAACAAGAGTTAGAGACATGTGTGTGCCTGTGGTGCTATGATCTTATTGGCTTCATAGAGACGTGGCGGGATGGCTCCTATGACTGGAATGTTGGAATGGAAGGATACAGGCTCTTTAGGAAGGACAGGCAGGGGAGACGAGGAGTGGGTGTCACCGTCTATGTCAATGACCAGCTGGAGTGTATGGAACCCCACTTGGGGATGGATGAGGAGCCAGCCGAGAGCTTATGGGTCAGGAGTAAAGGGAGAGCAGGAACAGGTGACATTATAATGGGGATCTGCGGCAGGCGACCCAACCAGGAAGACCAAGCGGGTGAGGCCCTCTATAGACATAGGAGCAACCTCATGTTCACAAGCCCTGGTCCTCATGGGCGACTTCAGCCACCCCAATTGGAGGGACAACACAGCAGGGTGTAAGCAATCTGGGAGGCTCCTGGAATGCACCAATGATAACTTCCTTCTCCAACTGATAAAGGAGAGGTGCCATGCTGGACCTGGTTCTCACCAACAGGGAGCAGCTGATGGAGAATGTGAAGCTCAAGGGAAGCCTTGGCTGCAGTGACCATGGTGGTCTCTGTCCATGATGGTGGATTTCAAGATCTTTAGAGCACTGAGGAGAGAGCACAGTAAGCTCACTGGCCTGGACTTCCGGAGAGCAGGCTTTGGCCTCTTCCAGGATCTGCTTGGTAGAGTACCATGGGATAAAGCCCTAGAGGGAAGAGGGGCCCCAAGAAAGCTGGTTAATATTCAAGGATCACCTCCTCCAAGCTCAAAGTCAGGCAAAAAGGCCACGAGGCCTGCATGGATGAACAAGGAGCTCCTGGACAAACTCAAGCACAAAAAGGAAGCCTTACAGAGCATGGAAGCAAGGACAGGTAGCCTGGGAGGAATACACAGAAAGCGTCTGAGCAGCCAGGGACCAGGCTAGGAAAGGTAAAGCCCTGACAGAATTAAATATGGCCAGGGACACCAAGGGTAACAAGACAAGCTTCTATAGGTACCTCAGTGATAAAAGGAAAACTAGAGAAAATGTGGGCCCTCTCCAGAAGGAAATGGGAGACCTGGTACCCGGGACGCGGAGAAGGCTAAGGTACTCAATGAATTTTTTGCCTCAGTCTTCACTAACAAGTGCTCAAGCCACACTGCCCAAGTCAAAGAAGGCAAAGGTAGGGACTGGGAGAGTGAAGAACCACCTACTGTAGGAGAAGATCAGGTTCAAGATCACCTAAGAAACCTGAAGGCACACAAGGCCATTGGGCCCAATGAGATGCATCCACAGGACCTGGGGGAACTGGAGGATGAAGTTGTTAAGCCTCTATCCATCATAGTTGGGAAGTCATGGCAGTGCAGTGAGGTTCCCACTGACTGGAAAAGGGAAACATAACTCCCATTTTTAAAAAGGAAAAAAAGGAAGACTGGGGGAACTACAGGCCAGTCAGTCTCACCTTTGTGCCCAGCAAGATCATGGAGCAGATCCTCCTGGAAACTATGCTAAGGCACATGGAAAGTAAGGACACAATTGGTGACAGCCAACATGGCTTCAATAAGTGTAAAATCGAGCCTGACAAATTTGGTGGCCCTCTACAATGAGGCCGTGGCATTGGTTGATAAGGGAAGAGCAACTCACATCATCTACCTGGACTTGTGCAAAGCATTTGACACTGTCCCACACAACATCCTTGTCTCTAAATTGAAGAGACATGGATTCAATGGATGGATTTGGTGGATAATGAATTGACTGGACGGTCACACTCAAAGAGTTGTGGTCAGCAGCTCAATGTGCAAGTGGAGACCAGCAACAAGTGGAGTTCCTCAGGGCTTGGTATTGGGACTAGTGCTGTTTAACATCTTTGTTAGCAACATGGACAGTGGGATTGAGCACACCCTCAGGAAGTGTGCTGATGACACCAAGCTGAGTGGTGCAGACAACATGCTGGAGGGAAGGGATGCCAGAGAGACCCCAACAGGCTTGAGAAGTGGGCCCGTGCGAACCTCATGAAGTTGAACAAGGCCAAGTACAAGGTCCTGCACACGGGTTGGAGCAATACCAAGCACAAATACAGGCTGGGCAGAGAACAGACTGAGAGCAGCCCTGAGAAAAGGGGCTTGGGGGAGTTGGTTGATGAGAAGCTCAACATGACCCAGCAGTGTGCACTTGCAGCCCAGAAAGCCAACCGTATTCTGCGCTGCATCAAAAGAATTGTGACCAGCAGGACGAGGGAGGTGATTCTGCCCCTCTACTTTGCTCTCATAAGACTTCACCTGGAGTACTGTGTCCAGCTCTGGGGCCCCCAATGTAAGAAAGACATGGACCTGTTGGGAGTGAGTCCAGAGGAGGGCCACAAAGATGATCAAAGGGCTGGAGCACCTCTCTGATGATGACAGCCTGAGAGACCTGGGGTTGTTCAGCCTGGAGAAGAGAAGGCTCTGGGAAGACCTTTTACAGGGGCATGTAGTGATAGGACAAGGGGCAATGGCTTTAAACTGAAAGAGAATAGATTTAGATTAGATATAAGGAAGAAAGTCTTCACTATGAGGGTGGTGAGAAACAGGAACAGGTTGTCCAGAGACGTTGTGGATGCCCCATCCCTGGAAGTGTCCAAGGCCAGGTTGGATGGGGCTTTGAACAACCTGGTCTAGTGGGTGGCAGGGGGTTTGGAACTACAGGATCTTTAAGGTCCCTTCCAAGCCAAACCATTCTATCATTCTATGATAAAGAAGGAAGGAGAACAAATATGCCCTGAGATCTTGTAGATATTAAATACGTATTTCAAAATATGTATCTTAAAATCATATTTTGGGGATAAATCCGTTAAGACTACAAATAACCTTCTGATGTATGTAAATGTATGAAGTTGAGATTAAATAAAGACTCTTTTTGACAGTCATCTTGTCTCTGGTAATACCTCCATATCCTTCTGGTAAGCCCTGGTAAGCTTCTGGATTTCATTTTCAGATTCTGTGGCACGTACTTGCTCCTTCTCCCAGCATTGCTGCACATTCTGTAGTTCCATTTTTAAAGTTCCTATTAAAGCCTCGCTGTCTGCACACTTAGTGTGCACATGATTTAACTCTTTATTGGCATCAGCCAGGTTATTGTGAGCTTCCTGTAGAACAGAGGCATGGAACAGAAAGGCTGGTAAGAATTTTGCTTTATAAAATGCTACCTTAGTCCAGTGCTCATCATCTGAGGAAGTAAACAGTCATATAGCCACATCTGTTCAGAAGATATCTTGTCAATAACAGAATTTCAAAATTGACAATAGTCCTTCTCCACAGCTTGTAACTAGGCAGCATCAGAAATCCATTTTAAAAGTTAAAGTTTGAAGAGTTAAAAGCTCTATGAGGCAGTCACCTTCGGAATTCCCTCTACCCCCACAACTGAGATGCAGAACGCATGGATGCAAGTTATCCTCTGCAGACTGCAGAGCTCTCGGAGCTAGTGAAAAGATACATTATTTTCCTAAGTACATCTCTGATCCTTTACAGCTGAGTTGGTAGGCAACACAGACAGCTGTTGTTACCCATTGTATTCCTTATCTGCATGATAACAAAATGTGAGGACTCTCCTTGGAGGTTTGACCTTGGGAAGAAACTAATAATTAGAAAAGGTCATATATACAATCACTATGTTACCAGTACCAAAACTCACAAGGTAAACAAAGAACTTAACACACTACCCCTTTTCAGCCAAAAGATCGCCGAGATGGAGTGGACAGATACACAGCTTTCCTCTTCTACAAGCACTGGACTTCCAGCACCACTAATGTTTGCTAGATGTCAAACTGAAAGCATTGTTTGTTTTTCATAAAGTTATAGCTGCTTATATAGGATATGTACTAGGAAAGATAATCCCAAATTCATCAGACAATGACAACTTGTGTTCTTAATGAAAATACTAAAACACTTAAGCAATGTTTAATTTCTAACACCAAAGTTTTCGGACTGGATCTAGTTTTCACTCATATATACAATTTTGTTACCAAAAATTTAAAGGGATCAGAAACTGGTGTACTGCATAAAAAACAGCACTGTCTATGTGTAGCAAACTCAGTTTTTGCATGAAGAAAACAAGTATCTGTTGCAACAGTTTGTAAAATTTTTAAATGCCTTACAAAGGTGCTGCAACAGAAGCAGAAGTGTTACATCTTCTGAACATGTAATTTAAATTAGTAAAAAAAGTTCAGATCAAATGACAGGAGATCACATGCAAGTGTCAATTAATATGAAGATTCAATGAGTGTAGCAGAAGTATCTGTGACTAAACTGAAGTGATAAAGCAGCATATCCCCAGCAAAAGAATCTGAGAAACACCGGGAGTAGAGACATTCTATTTTGGCAGTAATATAATACACTGCCAGTTGGGAGATTAAGTTTAACCATGACCTCAGGACTTCCTCACTCCCTTGGCCGCTGATGTAACCAGACAGGACGTTACAGAAGTGGTGTGTCAGGCAAAAACAGAGACAAAAAAAATTCTTGTTCAGAAACTAAAGAAAAGAGTTCTCAAGCATTTTATCAGTTCCAGGTAGAACTAGAAATTTTGGACTGCACATTGTACAATTGTCAAGGGTGACCTGATGCTTCATACATGCATTAATTTGTCTGATAAATACAAACAAAAAAAATTAACAAAAGAAAGGACACCTTTAATAAAATATGCTTTCATATAAACAGAGGTAATTAAATTCTCTCCTCCCTTTCTTGAGAAAAACAGTTAAGAGAAAAAGAATTACTGATGCTGATTTCAATACAAAACAATACTTAGCAAACTGATAATTCTATTTCAAATTATTTCAGAAGTGCAATCATTGAAATGATCAGTTACGTAGTCTAAGGAGACAGCCAGAATAAAGCAGCATGCAATGTAAACTAGTCTGCTCAACAGAATACAATGATATAGACACTTATTCTGATAGAAAAAAAGATACCATAAACCCAGAAAGATAGAATTCGCAGAACTTTCGAATTTTATGTTAAGTTCATGAAACCATACCTTAAGGTCTTGACTTAAAGCACACATTTTCTCTCTGTATATCTCAAGTTCTTTTGTCATCTTTTCATACAAAGCCTTCATTTTTCCAAGCTGTGAAAAATACAGAGGTCAAACAGGCTTTTAGAGAAAAGCTACACAATCACTTGAATATAAAGGAAAAATTTTGTACATAGATGTAAAAAAAAAAATTGTTTTCAATTCCTTTGACTTTATATATTTATTATATTATTTATACTCCATACAGTCTAAATAATGTGCCATTACAAGAGCACTAAATAACTCTTTTATAACGATTTAAGATAAACAGAATCCCAAACTGAGTCCACTATTAAATTTCCCATTGACTCTCAAAATACCTGACAAAGACAAAGACTTTGAAATGCATTTCAAAATGTAACAAATTAAATTATGATCTGGGGGAATGGTTTGAGAAAACAGGTTTTCAAAGTCAGTGGCCATTTGCAGAAATTGTCCAGCTACGAGTGTGGTCTCTACTTTTTAGTGAGCACTGGATAGTACTCACATACCAGTAAAAAGTAGCAATGTTTCCAGAGAGGCATGGTAACTACTGAACTGTTTGTGGTACCACCTTAATGGTAGCTCATGACCGTAATGTGTACTAACTTCACTTTCCACTTTCAAAAAACATAACAACACATCATTATAATCTGCATCTTTGGTTACCTGATGATGAGGTTAGCAATACAAATGTCTGAAAGAAATCATCAAATAGAGCTGTATTATAGTACAGGTTACTGCTGGCACTTGAGCATTAAGGAGCAACTCAGAAGTAAAATATCCCATTTATAAAATTTACACATTACTTTGGAAATTATAATTTTGTTTGATGTCAAATCAGGAGAACTGGCAGAACCCTTAGACATAATTACAGTAAATTACAGAATGCTGCTGGAGTATTTCCAGTCTTTTTGTTGGTTTACTAGCCTTGTCTCTCTCCCCAAACATAGTCTAGCCTCTGCACTGTAGAGAAATTAAAAAAACCTTGTTATCTGTCAAAACCAAAACACTTATACACCTTTCAGTCACACAAATGAACTCGATCATTTAATCTAATGTTTAACTCAGTAAGTTGAAGGTGACACATGACAAGTTTACCAGAGTATTTCACATATACTTACAGGTGTACACGTGTATTAATACCTCCCTCAATATGTGGGGTCTCGTTGAAAATCTCGCTATAAAAAGAACCACTACATAATTACTCAAAACTAAACCCTTACTGCTGTGTATTAAACCATCCTGGTTTTATTGCACAGTGCCCTTCATAGTCCCTTTGTGCATTATTGTATTATTAAAAAGTTTTATTACTAAACATATCTAATATATAAAAAGCTAAAAGCAGTGTTATCTGTGGGGGCGGGGGTAATCAAGAAGGACAGAGCACTGCCCTTTCTGTGCACCATGAAGGTGCTCAGTGATCTCTGGCTCCATATGACAACTTCAGGGTCAGTCACACGCAGTCCTACTGGGAAGTCTTGTGGCAGGTCATCAGTTGGTCCTGCTCTGCTTGCGATTTATTTTCCTTGACAGTTCATTCTTCTTTCTGTCAGAACACTCTCTTTGCTTTCTTAGCAGCCACCCCCTTGGTCTCCCCACTGCTGTCTCTGGCACAGTTTCACAACAAAGCACATCACTAAGCCAAAGCCTGCTGAGTCGACTTTTCAACTGTGCTGCCTATCACGTGACATTCCTCCTCCGAAATAACAATTCGCTGTGGGTAATATGTTCCCAGTTACTCTGCAGCTTCCAGACTTGGGTCTCAGAAGAGTTTCATAATGACTACACACATCGGTTCTCTTATCTCACTGGGAGAGACCTAACAGTGCTTGCTGTTTACAAAAGTATAATTGTTTCCATGGTCACTTATTTTTGCACCCATTGAACAAACTCAAAAGTCTTGCAGGAGACATTCTTTTCCCAATAAAAGGAGCGAAGCTGATATACTTCTGGTTTTTTCTTTTTTCTTTTTTTTTTTTTTTTTAAACATTGTGAGTGACTAGCTAGACTATGTATTTCTCAAAACAAAAAGACAAAACCTAGAAATGAGAAAACAGTACTGGCATTTTTAAAATTTTACCACACCTTGCCTTGTATTTGCCAATTTTATCCAAAGATAAGCTAATTACAAATTTATACAGAAAGCTTTAACAGTGCAGTTAACTTCTCTCTACAGCCTTTAAAGCCACAGATTCATAAAACATTTACATCCAAGATAATCACACTAGCAATACAAATGAGAAAATAAATACAAGACTGTGACTTTCTAGTCAGTGAAATAAAAGGCCAGTAGGACTGCATGGAAGATATTTGATTTTTTTCAAGGTAAAACTTCCAAACCTGAAATATTTCTATTATTGTCTTAGGTAACTTAAAGAAAGTACTGTCACGGTCCTATTTTACTTGAAAAGACCTCAAAATAGCACCAGAAGAGATTTCGTCATAAACACACTCATCTCAGAACATTATGCCACTTTTTAAAGGCACAAGAGCATGCACATTTACATAACTGATACCTGTGACTGTTGAGGCTTAAGTGTTGCATATTTAGGAAAACTGGTATGCACTGCCCAACTCTTAAATCATCACCTTTTAACTGAAATCCTAGAGATGAATGGCTCATTTTCCTGAATGTTTATTGGAAATAATAACCCCAACAGGTTTAATAAGAAAACAAAACCAAATTAAACTAAAAAGATAAAACCTCTTCTCCCTGTCCCCCCAAATGTAAATGAAATTTCACCGTAGGGCAAGCTTAAAGAAATGGTAGCGACGGAGGTTATTTCTTTGGGTATACGTGAAGCTGTCAACTGAATATTCCCACTCTTCTGACCTTTTTTACAAGCAAAGCGTATGTACTGCTGCAGGCCGAAGGCGATACATATAGAGCCAAACAGTGCAAGTGTTACCTCATTAGACGTATCTTCCAGCTTGTTCTGGTAAGCTGTCAAGGTACACCTCAAAGTCTCAAGGACAGAGAGGCTCGGAGGTTTATCTTTGTCCTTACAAGTGCCTGAAGAAAAATACAGAATTAAAATTAAGCCTTAAAGCCACAGAGAGAAAAGTACTCACCCTGGATGAGAGGTATTGAAATTAGCTAGGGCTTCAGTGACAATACAAAACACTGAACAGCAGCCTTGTTTGCCACAAGAGATGCAGCTGAACAGCCATACTTTCACAGCAAATACAGCTGAAAGACATTTGTATAAAAGCTTTAATACAAGACACAGAACTGTAAATTCTGGATTACATTTCTACCTAATGTATTTGGTATGCAGTCTCGCATATAATTTCTATTGTGGTCAAGTCTGTGCATTCAGTCAGACCAGCCAACTTTAAAACCACACAATAACACACTTTGAAAAACATGTTGCCTGAAAGTTACGTATGCTACACTTTTCCTGACATTATTTTGCTGTTGTGACTAGATGCATATTATAATGTAGTGCTTAATTTACTCAAAGCTTTACCGAGCCAAAGATCACATGACGATGTTATGCTTGGAGAGTCTTAAAAACCTTTTAAATGATCTTGAATTTCATTCCAAAGGAAATAATAAAAAAAATTTATTATCTGTCTGCAGAGTCCTACATAACGTTTCAATTATAAATCTTAAAGCTGATATATCCATTATATACACACTACACTTATTTATTAAACCTTTAGACAGAGACTTCTGATCTGGTTGCCTTAATTAGGGACATATGAACAAGTTTGAGCATTCCAAAGCCCATAGTACAATGTGCCAAGAAAGCAAAACAACTCTGTATTGATCAAGAGGTCACAAGATGTCAGCTGATATTAAATTTCCAAGAACAAACTATTCATTTTTTTCTGATGTTACAGCAAAGTACCAGGTTATTGACAGATTCTTCTCAGCACTATTTATATTAGTACACAGCATTTATAAAATGCAAAATTTATATTTTGTAATAAATTATAGTATCATCTTTCCCACAAGTCTTAACATGTTCTATAAGCAAAACTAACTTTACCAATGCTAATAGCATCCTTATTTTGCAAAAGAAGTGAAAAAATCTGTGGCATTTGAACTCCAAAGAGGCTAACCAATCATAACTCCCAGCAGAACTAAAGGATGATACAGGTGTTTATCACCTCTGAAAGGTCAGTGTCACTAAGCAGTTTACCTAGGGTGACTCACAAAGTCAAATCAGATACTAAACTCTTAAGGCTTTTCTTCGTCTCTCCATAAAACTTTGTCAGCTAGAGGAGGTGCACTTACATACTTGCAGATCATTTTTTCTTAAGAATCCTATGGTTAATGTTATCTAATAAGCACTATACAAAAACAATCGATTTGTCCTGTAGGCTATACATAATGCCTCAATGGCAGTCAGTGGAAAACTTACACATATGCACAAGTCAGAAAGTATTGCCAACAGCCGTTCTGAAAAATTTTTTTTAATTAATTAGCCTCTTCTCTCCCAACACTTTGACAATACCAGAAAGCACAGAGTACTATTCAGAATGAACACTAATATTTCACTTTGACTTACCAGATAACTGTTACTGTCAAAGTCACACCTAGTCAAACCAATGCATGTTTGCAAGATCACTTTCAGTAACAGGAGCGAGATCTGCTCTACAGCATGCAAGTGGTTTTTAAAAGAATGCATGTCCCAGTGACAGACTTCTGCTCTGTCGTAGCAGCCACTCCAGTGGACACCTATTTACCACAGTTTCTAAAGGTCTACAGGGTCAGGGAAAAGCAAAATCTTCTTAATGAGACTCCAGTGCCCTTAACCAAACTTATGAGTCCTAGAGATGTCCCTAATAGCAATATTACACCTAGAATCAACCTAAGAAGAATTCATAAAACCTGACCTTTTGTTAGAAGTTTAGATTTCACATTTAAGAAAGAGGCTACTAACACCCTACTGTTATTTTTATCACTTAGCCACAGCTAGTTAAGGATGCACAGGGCTTCAGTCCTGTATTCTCAATTACCAGAGCAATTTCTAATACCCACTGTAGGAACATTTTGCAGCGATCTTGTTGCACAGAAAAATGAAAGTACTACTCTTCCATACTTACAGCTCTAGAGAAGTTGTAACTCAGAATTCTCCTTCAGTTTAAAGTAACTTCTATTAAGTCAATTCAGGGGTTGCCTCCCATCCTATAGCTTTCATCAAGCTGTCTACATAACCTATCTTCATTTCTAAAGTCCCAATCTGCAATGCTGTTACTGAAACATGCCTCTGAACTATCTTAATTTACATCATGTTTGCCAAAACCAGACTTTTGCCAGTGAACTTTCCATGCTGGCATTCCTTGCCTTTGCTACAACCCTGTTTTCTAGGCAGCCCAGTCTGCCAATAGAAATACCAGATCCCACCTTCCTGCACTAGCTGAAAACAAGCCTATGGCTATAATACAGGCCAAATGTTCTTTGTCTACAGGAGACACGCAAAATAATCCAAACAGCACTTTCTTGCTGGAGAGACCCTATTTCAGCAATCAGGGAAAAAAACCCCTAATAGCTGAAGCATTTGCCCAGTATCACCCAAGAGTTTTGGGGGAAGAATTGGGGCAAATGCCATGTTCAACAAAAGGCTGACAGGAGACTTAAAAAGGAGAAGATGCAGATTTATGCTTGTTATTTTGGAATGTCTGAAGAAAAAATAACTTTTAAAAATACCTTGGGTTTTAATCTTAAAAATATAAAGCCTTCTCATCTTTTTCCAGTATAGCCCAATAATCACAACCCGATCAGCACTCAAATGAAGGGGCTGTCAAAATATTGACAGATTTTTAAGTAGATCTCTCAACCATTTGAGTTGAGAGTTAAAAACAAAAACAAAAAAAGATTGCCCAGCCAGCTATGGCTCATGTAGCCCCTGATCTGCTAATTAGACTACAAAGATTTATTTAAGATTTTTACTCTTATTGGCACCTAAGCATTCTGATTTCAAATGTGATTACATTAAACATTTTTTTCAAAATTGAAAAAATAGTTACATAATAAATTTGTAAGCACAACACAGTAAGTAAATAGCATTAAAAATTTAAGTTTCACACTTAGAAGTGTAGTAAATATGTAGAACAAATGTCTCAGTCAATGTCCATTTTAATATTAGCTGTAAAGACTCAATCCACAGCAGAGCTAAATTTGACTTTCTGCCTCAACTGAGCCTCTGCAGAGATGCTGAAGCTTAAAAGATCTCTGTAAATAAGATCTTTCAAAGTTTACCTTAAACAAAGCAAGTTAATACTGAAGTTACTGTAACTGAATCCCTAATATTATAGAAACAGGTCAAAGCTGTTCTCTGTGAGGTTTACCACAAGGGAGAACAGAAAACCTACCCAAAAGACAATTACTGCTTTGGAAACTGCACTTTCACAGCAGCTTCCAGCTCCCCCCAGAATTGCTGAAGCCCCTCTGGGCATGTGGAACTTCGCAAGATTGAGGAAAACATACAGTTTTGAAGAGCCTTTCAGTCTGACGTATCTACAGTAAACCTACAGGTATTACCCACAGGAATTACATTTATAATCACAGAATAAAACTGATACCAGTTCCCAAATAAAAAAAAAAAATCATACAGCCATATGAGGAAAATCAGTGCATCACAGATTCAAGGCTACGCTTTTAAGGACAACATAAATCTTAAGAAGTTCCTTTATTCAATTTTAACAGGACCAGGCCCTAAAAAATACCTTTTTGTGAAGATACAAAAAAATGCACCTTCATTTAAAGGTGTGACACAACCCGTTTATGTCTACAGTTGCTAAAAAGTGCAGAAACATATCATCACAATTTACATAAAATAAACCCATTTGCTCTTTAAGTAACATTTTGCCTGTTTTCTTCCAGTTTACTTGCACTGTAATTTGAAATCATTTTGTGTCTAGTATGTGATTTTCTAACAGGAATCACATAGAGAAAACTTTTATAGATAGATTGAAATGAAGATTTTTCAAAAGTGTACTACTTCCAGCTTTAAAAAAATTACTAGCTTTGATGTTGAAGTTGTTTGTTTATGTTAACCACTATTTCACATGTTTAAGCAGACAGCAGTTCATTGAGTTTGATACAATAATTACATAAAAGCTAGGTAGCAGAGTGACAATCACTGACTTATGATTAATTTTAATGAAAACAGAGAAACATTTGTTCTGTATTTGATCAAATGAATGCAATATAATACTAGTCCACAATCAACAGTAAAAAGTATTGTGTTATTTCATGTGTCCTACACAACCTTTGTGAATATATGACCTTTAAGTTGCTGAAGGTTGCCTCAGAATTTGGCTCAGTTCAGGCAAAACATCTGTTCCCTTTGCAGGTATACTGTAAGGACTTTTTTCTCAGTTGGATTTAGAGCACAGCAAGTGAGCCCTTTTCTGACCGATCATATACACCCCAGCATTTGTAAATCAAGCTCTGGGCTGACAACAGCAGGTCCACATTCCGTCACCCTTTCTCAGCTAGCAAGGCCATTTGACTGCTGTGAGAACTGCTCTTATCATGTCATCAAATCAAAGCATGTTGAGAAGAGGGAATGCAAGAGGCATCTGCAGAATTCCCACAATGTAGTGACTTTGGAACATTGACAGATGCATCTGTCATTTTATACCTTCAACTAACCTGCTGTCCGCTGGCCTGACATAGCAAAGCTGTCCAAGAGTAACTCCAGCTCTCTCATGTTGTTTTCATACGTCTCTGTTAGAAAGACCTGGTGTTTCTTGGCCTTTATTTGACAGGAGATATAGACAAGACAAGAGTGGAAAAAAAGAAACCCATTAAAATAGTAAACAGAAGAAATACAGATCACAATGGTATTTTTGTTCCACTTTAAATTTGAATTCCTGCTATATTTCTTATTACTCCTTTTCTTGAGCCAAGACCTAACGTGACATCACAAATAAGTAACACAGGACCCTGAAACACACTTAAAATAGAACTAAAGCCTTCAGGTAGTCAGAAGAAAAAATGGTTGTACTAAAACGTAGTCTTGATCTTCTCCTTTAAAAAAACCTTGGTGAACATTAATTAACTGCTGCCCACCTATGCAAGCAATGAAATCTATTGTTACACCCTACAAGGGCATCCAGAAAGACACCAAACCACTGGCAGACAGGCTAGAAATTCATGATTTGGCACTCAGTCAAATCCCACACCTACTCTCATTCCAAACTGCCTACTTTAATTGTTAGTATCTTCCATGCTTGATAGTGATTTCTTCAATATCAAAAATTCCTCCTTATGCATGGAACATAAAGCAGCAGAGTCCTTAAGCTCCTATCGCTGAATTTACTTAAAGCAAGCTGTTCACTAAGCGCAGCCTATTGTTCAAATCAAGCCACTGGCTTTATTCTGAGGGTAGAAAGGTGTTACAGCAGATTTTTTGATCACTACAATAGAAAGACTATATCATATCACTCCTTCAGTTTATAGCGGATAATAAAACTTGTGATTTTCAAAGACATGCATCCATAATTCCAGACAGGACCGAGGTCCTCTTGGACTTATGTAGTTCTGACTTCTCAAAAAAATGTACAATTTTAACAGCTACTGACAAAAAGTAATATACCTCAACAACCCTCCCCCCCCAAACCAAGAGGAAACCAGATTTAAATAAACTCATTATTTTCTTATGACAGAGGTTATGCTCAAAGACATCTCATTAGTTTTAATTACTCACTTTATTTTTATTCTAAATTCTAACACCTATATGAGTAATTTCCATTTCTACTTCATGATGGAGAGTTACTCATTTTGTATTGAGAAAAATCCTACTGTTATCTATTATATCTATAAACTGTAGCTTTAGTTATGCTTCACTGAATGTCTAAGGATCCAGTCAATTTCTCAAGTGTGGGAAACATCCTCCCCAGGAAAACTGCTACATACTGGTAGTGTATAATGTCAGACCAAAAACCCAAGAAATGCATTTAATTCTCTGCAGTGTTCTTCAATATTCAGTTTAAATATTTTATAAATTTTCTTTACTCTTTCAATTCTAATTATATGTACTGTATATCAACTAATATATTATTCAGATACGTATTTCAATGCTAGGCCCCCTGTAGCATTTACATGCCTTTCCTTGTTGAGACTTTGTACTACAATCCACAAAGAATTTCCAAACCACTTCTATATATTCAACAATAACTAAGTTTTAATTCTTAATCTATAAAATTATCTATACAAATAGAGCATGTAATTGCTGAGCTCCAGTAAAAGTATTTTATGGGATGCAAACACATTAAAATAATTACTCTCATGTACTGATATAGTCTCAAAGACCTCACATATTACAAATAAGAAAATATAACAATATGCTCAGCATCATAATAAAATAAACACTGTTTTTACCTACACCACACCAGCACAGACAAGGTCAGACTAAATCTTCCCAGAAAAAACCTTTTCCCACAGAAAAGTCAAATGTCAGAATTTTTTTCAATCTCCTCATCCAATTTCTTCTTTTGGTTTAGTTAATTTACCACAAATTAGTCAGTATATTCCAGTCTATTCAGGCTTCACCACTTCTCTGTGCTTTATTTGCTAACTGCATCTACACTCCCTAAGCCAATGTCAGTCCCTTTTTCAACAGCAAAAAAGATCAAAAAGGAAGTATCTCAGACTAGCCAGTTTCTCTACATTTCAGCTGCGAAGTATTTAGTGTCTTTCCTTTCTAACTCCCATTTTCAATTACTGTCCCCATTATCAGAAATTAAAGAAAAATACTGTAAACTGGAGTGCTGGAAACCCAGGCATGGGTTAATAGACCAAAACAGTCTGAACACAGCGATCTAATTTCTTATGCCTCGCTGACAGCTATCTAATAAGAATGTGTAGAGTCATAAAATCATAGGATAATTTAAGCTGACAGGATCTCTGGAGGTCATGTGGTCCCACTCCCCACTCAAAGCAGGGACACGCTTGAAGTCAGGTTAGGTTGCTCAGAGCTTTGTCCAGTGAAGTTTTGAGGATCCTCAAGGATGGAGTTTCAACAACCCCTCCAGGCAACCTGTTCCAATATCTCACAATCCTCACTGAAGGGTTTTTTTCCCATTACAGGTAATTAGAATTCCCTTTCCAAAATTTCTGTTTTCTCTCATACTTTCCACTGCACAGTTCTAAGGAGAGTGTAGCTCAGTCTTCTCCATAAGCACCCATTTGACAGTTCATGGCAGAAGCAGTAACTCCCTTAGTTTTCTATTCTTCGGTCTGAGCAAACACAGCAAGTATACATAACTCTTTACTTTGAAAAGGAAAATGGAGTCCACAAGCACAGAAGTCAAACATAATCAATTGTAGCTGCTGAAAGATATCTTCTGCCAGATCCAACAATTCCTGGAGATGACATTACTTCCTTCTCAGCAACTCCATCCATCAGGATATTTGTGTTAGGGGATGCCACTCCTGTAGAATTACTGGTGAGTATTCCCTAGATTACTTCAAAAAGGAAATCAGGTGACAAAGAGCAGAAATCTTTACTTAAAGAGAGTTTGCTTCCCAGACCACATTAGCAGAAACAGGTGAAAAACCACTTATAAAGTAAGCTGCCTGCTGACTTTGCCTGGCTTCCCGCACATCAGGATGGACCACTCTTGACCTTGGAGGTGATCCTTGAAAATGAAAGGCAGCAGGAGATCTGTATGGATGCACAAAGAGGTCCTATCTAATTACAAACATTAATAGGAAGCATGAAGGAGATGAAACCAGGCATAGGTGACCTGGAAGAAATATAGAGACACTGTACAAGCATGGAGGGATATGCTTAGGAAAGCCAAAATCCACCTAAAGTTGAAACTGGCAAGTGATGCAAAGGGCAAAAGGAAAGGCTTCCTGAAGTACATCACCAGCAAAAGGAAGACTAGGCAAAATGTCGGCCTGCTGTTGCATGGGGTGGGGGATCTGGTGACTATGACACAGAAAAGGCTTTTTCAATGCCCTTTTCACCTCAGTCATTACTGGTAGAACCTGCCTTCAGAAATCCCAGGTCCCTGAAACCAGTGGTAAAGTCTCCTTGTGAAGTCTGCGTAAACACTTGATAACTTAAAAATTCTCAAAATATATCAGGAATATTTCCTATACCCCCAAACACAATTCTCTCCCTCACAAAATATTCAGAATAGGAGGCCAGAAACCAAACAATACGGGAGCAAAGTCATACTTTCTGAACCCAGAATATATGCTGAATTGTAGCATAAACAATGCTTCCCCAAGTCAAGCTTCATACCCTTAAGAAGGTTCCTATTATCACAAAACAGCCCTTGAGGACAAAAGAATTTTTGGTAGAAAAACGTGTCTGGCAACCTATTTACTTAACCACTAATTTTAAAACAACCACGCTTTTAAAGAAATTAAACAGAAGCCAAGTATTTTTCATTACAAGTACTGTAGGCTTCACCCAGAAGAAAAATCTTTTTTCTAAATGTTTTGTATCCTTATCTGTAAGGTTAACCAGAATTATTAGGAAAACCCAGTACTTATAAAAATTACTCCACCCACTGCCAGAATTATGCTAATCTTCCAGAAGTAGGGTATTTGCATTTACCTGGGCAATTCCCTACTACCTTGGTTGCAGAGATATTTTCTTTAACTACCAGTCTTCAGTTCTGATAGCATTCCATCACCTGCTCCAGGACAGAAATGAAGTCCCATTGATTTTTCAGCTTTTTCCAAAAGCCACTGTTGTATAAAATAAATGCAAACTCTACACACAGTTCCAGAATAACCTACATGAACTGATGATGCAAATGTGCATCTGTGTCTCAAGTTCAGTGACGTTTAAAAAATAAACATGTAGGCAGGAGTTTGAGGCCTTTTCAAAATTAACTTACCAAACTGCAGTAGTATTATGCAAGGAACTGGAGTCCAGTCCTGCAACGAACTGCCATTATTCCAAGATGAATTTTCTCTACTTTGTTTACAATTACAGGGATTCTCCTGTGTGGCTCACCTGCACATGGGCTAATTCACCCACTCATTCTGCAGTACAAATCCCATCTGGTAATGGCAGAACAAGTGCCAAAGCCAGAACTGTCCACGCAGCCACCAAAAAGCAGTATGTTCGGGTACTCCTTGAAAAGCGTTTGAGTAAATTCTTTACAAAAGCATCAGAATGTTTACCAGGCATGACCTCAGGGGAACCAAATCAAAGCATTTATAGAAACAGGTTCCAAATGACTGCTCCACAGTTAACAAAAATAAGGGTTTAGTTGAGTGATGTTCTGTATAGCAGAATAGTGGCACAAATTTTAAGCAACCAAGCATAAATTGCAGTATAAGAACCAAAACAAAACCCTCACTGACAATCTCCCTCCTTAGGCTATTATTTTTGCTCAAGTTATCTAACTATTGAGTAATAGTTTCTTTATTTTCTTGTACTAGCTAGAATTTTCCAAAGATGCCTCCTATAAAGGAGTCTTTAAAAAAGTGTCTAGCCATATGTAAATTAAATACACTTTCTCAAGAAATTTAGTGTTTCAGTTTTAATCACCTGAAATAAAATTAATCAAAAATCCTCACATTTTGTATGGAACTATTCTAGGCCCCTAAAGAGAGATTTGTAACAACCGTTTGGTGGCAGCAAATGTTGTGAAGTATCTCTTTGATTTTTTGGGTTTGGGGTTTTTTTATTAGTCGGAGAAAGTTTTTTGAGAACTGACAACTTTAAAAGCATTTTTAGATGTCTGTCTTGAAACACTGGGACATCAGAGCTCGAGTGACCTCTCCACTTCCAGAATAATTTACAGAATTGGGGTTTTTTTGTAGAAGCTCATTTAAGCATATGCTTCAGACTGATTGGTCGTCTTAAATTAGGACGATAACAGAAGTAGCATCTGGGTGGAAACACTCCAGCCCTGAGTTAAGGCAAGCAAAACAGAATCAAGGTAACATAACATTGAACAATCATTAACACAAAATTAATGAAGATTTAAATTGAAAGAAAAAGCTCTGTTCACAGTAAATCATCTAGATGAGATTTACATCTTTGCCATTGAGTACCAGATTCTAATCCATAGAATTTGTAGAATAGAATCATAATCTTCAGGGTGTTTCATTGTCTCCTCAGTCAAGACACTTCTGTTAAAGAACAATGGTTAATGCCTATGTCCAGGAACTAGATTCTCAAACACGTCTGTTCTGACTTTCAGCTTATGATAACCTACAAGGCTATTACAGACAGCCGAGATGCATACAGAGCATGACTGCATGCATGGCTACAGGACAAAGATTTATATGCCACACAGAAAAAGACAGGCCCTGGGTTTAATCTATTATACTACTTATACATTAATTATGCTACTCCTGATAGTAACTATACAAACAGGAGAAAATTAATACACAGTTCTTCTAAATTAAAGGAATTTATACTAAAATACAGTATTTTTAATGACTTAAATTTCCTAATCAGCATTCTGGTGAATTTGCAAGTTCCCCAAATTTCAATATACGTTCCTCAACCAATAAATGTTCAACATCTCCCACTCGTCCAGTACTAAGAATTAAAGATCATCCACTAGTAGGTGCCAGAAATGTAAATATCCTGAGTAACTTTTAAAACTATTAAAGACACCTTTTCTTCTTTGCATGGGGCAGCAATACAGCTGGGGCTGTTTCAATTCAAACCAAGTTCTGAATCACAACGGCCATTCTTCCATATTCCTACTCTTCAAGCTAAAAATTTCTAAAAACCGTAGCTGGAAATAATGACAAGCTTGAGACCAATTTCCTCAGAAAAATATAATGGAAATCTTGAGATCCTGCTCATGCTGAACATTAATAAGCAGTTTTGTTTGATACCAACAGATCCTATCACATTTGATCCATGCAGATTTCTGGCAAACTTCTGCCACATGCTGATATTTAAAATTAAAAGCAGCATAACTATTTTACTATACATTCAACTGAGCCATAAAAAAAAAAAAAAAGCAAAATTCTTTTTCATATAAAGTTTCCAAAGAATGCATTTCGTCCCTGCATAAGTCTGCTTCTCTAAAAACAGTGAGCTTTCACTGGTTTGGTTATATTTCCTGCATATTTTACAAACAAAAACATTAACTTGTACTAGAGCAGTACAGTGAGAAAACAATATAAGATTATCAGACTGGAGTGGGAAGGACATATTCAGGATGTCTCACAATAGTATAAAATAAAAGAAAGTAACAAATACAACAAGAAAGCGGGGGGGGGAAATGAAGGGAAGAGAACACACTGCCATTTTCATAGAATTTTAGTATGGGTAGAGAGAAGCCTAATAACAGTATATGAAATGTTATATAGACTTAGTTTCTGCTAGAGTCTTCCACTTTTTCATTTTGGGAAGAAAAATAACAAAAAGCTGTCCAGACCGAGTAAACAAGACCACACACAGGCACTCCTGCTTCCCAAACAAATACAAAAGTCTTCAGGAAAAATACAAAGCCATCCAAGGTGATAAAAATCTAATCCCATAGGGGACCACTAATACAACTCCTCAGAAAATGAGTATTTTTATTACCTGTTCAAGACAGTCTTGTGGTTTGAAATCGTTCCAGTAATACAATTAAAACAACCCCCTCTATGAATAAGACACTTCTTTTAACTGAGACAATCTATTCTGCTTTTTACCTTTCAGTAACGTAATGTTCATTTTGAGCACACCATTTAATGCTGTTGCCATTACGAGAAACCTTGATCATGAACAGAATTTTGTCCTGAATTCTTCAGGTATAACACACATTTTACTACAGAGCACAAAACAAAAAGGAAAACTCTTATCACAGCAGTAGCTAGCAAGCACTCAAGGTTCCTAATACAAGTTTTTTAGATTGGAATTGTACTTTATATTAATAAATAGCAATCATTACTGACTGTAGTTAGGGGACACAGTTGCTTTTGTCTCTTCATATTCCTTTTGTGCCTGAGAGGTGACTTTCTCACGGTAACTAGGCCAACTGCTTTTAAATACACTAACACTTTCATGGAAGACTCTGTGATTCTTCCAGAAGGAAGAGGGGGTTTTGATTTTATTTTTCTTCAATTTATTAGTTATCAGTCTGTCTGGGAAGTGGATAACACTAAGACAATGTACAGGATAACTCCATCAGCTGAACAGAAGACACCCACAAATCTGAATATCCTCTGATGCAGGTCTCCTGCTCATTGATTAGCAGAATGCCTGTCAGCAGCTGGGAACAGACCACATGTACCTTCCATACTCATATATCCAACAGAGAGAAAGAGGAGACATTTGCAAGCCAGTATCAAAAAAAGTTTACATTGGCCAAGTGTAGAAATACTGCAAATGCTACTACACAATGGAAGGAGAGAAGGTTTTCTAGATATCTTAAGATCTTTGCTTTGTCCCTGCTGTAATGCAACAGGATGGCAAAATTGTTATTCAAAGTTAAGGTGAGTAGAGCCAGTGGCAAGGCCTGAACTGGCCATGCAAAAGGGGAAAGATTGCAGAAAACAATCCAGTAAAATACATCCAACATGCCAAATCCACACAAAACCAAAAAAAAATTCCCTCTTCTCTGTCACCTTCAAACAAGCAATTCTTACAGTCAGATGCTTCCACGAATAACAAAAAGTTATGTGAAAGAGCAATAAACAGAACTACAATGGTAGCTAATGATGCCTGGAGAAAAAAAAAGCTCAGGTTGAAAGACAGAAGATTCTCCACAAGGAATCATAATACATATCTACAAATTGCCTTGTTTGCTAGGAATGCAAACACAAGTTACTCTTTACTCATAGCCATACTTTTAAAGTAATTGTTTTCTGCAAATAACTCTTCAGTTAAATACACAGTATATCACTTAAAATACATTTTTTAATTAGCTTCTCCAGTGTATTAGCTATATTTACTCAAGTTTTACAAAATCAAGTAACATAAGTAAAATCACAGTAACACAATGGCACAGTTCTTCCACAGGTCAGCACAGCAAATGCAGATTATGTTCACAATATGTTTAAAAAACCCTAAACAACGAGAGCCACAGGCCTTTTGTCTTACCATTGCAAGTTCTTCCTGTAATTCTCTGCAGGTTTTTTCATTATTCCGTAGTCTCTCAGAGAGGTCTTTAATTACCTTCTTCTTTTCCTCAATCTTCTCATTCATTTGCTTGTTTGTGGAGAAACACTCTCTTTCTAATCTGAGAAGTTTCAGCATTAGAACACTTTTATCAAAAATACTTTTGCCAAGTATACTATATACTTTTAAAGATAATCAAAGGATATCACACATATCATGTTAGCACATCATATGACTTCTGAAGTTGCCTTTTTTTTCACTGAAGAAAGTTATATATTCCTTCTAAGAGAGGCTTTTCAAGAAGTAGTTATGTTCTTTTCAGTTACCAATGCTTTTGTTAGTGTTAGGCTACCTACCGTAAGTGTTAGGCTTCTGGTCATAAATTAATTTGCTCATTTGGATATGGCCTCCAAATTACACATAATAAACAGAATTCATCATATTTTAATTTACACGGTAGCTCTTTTCAGTAAGGCTGTATCACATCTTGCATAATCACAGAATGGCAAGGGTTGGAAGGGACCTTGGGAGATCATCTAGTCCAACCCTCCTGCTAGAGCAGGTTGCACAGGACATCATCCAGGCGGGCTTTGAGTATCTCCAAAGGAGGAGACTCCACAACCCTCCTGGGCAGCCTGTTCCAGTGCTCTGCCACCCTCAGATCAACCCTAATTGCAAGTACAAAGCTTGCTCCTTAGGTTTCCACATACCTGACTATTCTCTACTCAGAATCACATGACTTCAAACTTTTCCACCAGCAGACTGTGCCCAAAATTTCAAACAGTCCTTGTTCTGTACCAGCCCTCCCAGTACTCAGGAAAACAGATATATAAAGAGCCTTGTGTGGCTAAACAATCAACTCCTGAGAAAGCTCCAAGGCCAAACAACAGCATAGAGGACAGAAGCAGGGACAGGAATCCAAGGAATAATTTAGAAAGATTGCCTGACTATGTAGGCATGGTGTCAGGAAAGCCAGAATCTCACCTAGAATTGATGTTTGCAAAGGATGACAAAGACAAGAAGAAGAGATTTTACCACTACATTAAGGTAGGAAAGAAAACATGGACATACTTCTACACAGACCAAGTAATTTATCAACAGCAGACAGAGAGAAGGTCACCACATTCAATGCCTTTTTTGCATCAGTCTTCTCTGAGAAGGTCTCCTAAGCCTCTGTGATCTGTAAAGGGCCTCAAAGAGGAGAGCTATTGCTAGCAGTAGGGGAGGATTGAGTCCAGGACTACTTGTAAGAACTCAACCCATAGAAATTGAAGAGGCCAGCTCATCTACACTCAAAGGTTCTGACAAAGTTGGCCAATGTCACAGCAAGGCTGCTCATTATCTCTTTGAAAGGTCACAGAGAATGGGGGAGGTCCCTGGCAAATGGAGAAAGACAAATGTCACACCTATATTCAGAAAAGGGTGAAAGGACAAGCCAAGGAACTATAGACCAGTTAGCTTCATTTCAGTCCCAGGAAGGTCACAAAGGAAGATGTGTTGGAACAAGTTTCTGGGCTCATGAAAGAGAAAAAGATGATTGGGAACAGTCAGTGAGGATTTATCAAAGCTAAATCATGGCTGGCCAACCCCTTTATATTCCATAATAAAATGACCAGATCTGCAGACAAAAAGAGAGAAAGTACACTAAATATAAGTCAACTTTAGCAAGGTTTTTGGCACTGTCTCACACAGTATTTTTATAGCCAAGTTAGGATTTCAGTCTAGATATGTGAACTACAACATTGATAAAAACAGTTTGATGGTAAAACTCAGATGGTAGTGGCCGATAACTAGTGGTATTCTGTAACACTCTGTATTAGAATCTGTTTAACATCTTTGAGGGTTTTGGCTTCTACAACAATGGGGCGTTCTTTGATGACTACAACCTGTTAGGGAGGGATGGGATCCACCTCTCTACATGAGGCAGGGGAATCCTAGGCAGTAGGCTGGCCAACTTGGTATGGCGGGCTTTAAACTAAAGTACTCGGGGGGTGGGGTACACAGTCAGAACACTCAAGCAATCGCATCTGACAAGGGAACAACTGTGACCATTCAGAGCAGCAATAAATGTGCTGTAGCAGCCTCCCAATTTAAGAACCAGAAGACCCACTGCCTTAAAGGTGGGCTTGGCAGTGGCAGATCCTCTTTCATCCCTCCAGGGAAACCTATGTGCTCAATTGCCTTGCTGAAATGCCTCTACACCAATGCATGCAGCATGGGGAATAAGCAGGAAGAGCTAGAGTTCTCTATATGGTCGCGGGGCCATGATCTCGTGGAATGCTACCATTGATGGCTATGTACTTTTCAGGAAAGACAGGCCTACAAGGTGAAGGAGGTGGAGTTGCTCTTTATGTGAAGGAGCAACTGGAATGTATAGAGCTCTGCCCAGGAGTGGATGAAGAATAAGTCGAAAGCTTGTGGGTAAAAATTAAGGGACAGGCCAGCATGGATGACACTGTGGTGGGTGTTTACTATAGACCACCCAACCAGGATGAGGAAGTAGACAAGGCCTTCTACAGACAGCTAAAAGTAGCCTCGCAATCACAGGCCCTGGTTCTCATGGGAGACTTCAACTATCCTGGTATCAGTTGGAAGGACCACACAGCAAGGTACACACAGTCCAGGAAGTTCCAGCAGAATATCAATGGTAACTTTTTGACCCAGGTGGTGGAGGAGCCAACAAGAAGAGGAGCACTACTGGACCTTTTGCTGACAAATAAAGAAAAACTGGTTGAGGATGTGAAGGTAGGGTGCAGCCTTGGCTGCAGTGACCATGAGATGGTGGAGTTCCAATTCTGCGTGGTAGAAGCAGATCAGTAAGTAGGATCGCAACACTGGACTTCAGGAGAGCTAACTTTGGCCTCTTCAAGGTCCTACTTGGAAGAATTCCATGGGTTAAGGCTCTTGAAGGTAGGGGAGTCCAAGAGAGCTGGCTGCTATTTAAGCAACACTTCCTCCATGCTCAGGATTGGTGCATCCCCATGAGTAAGAAATCAAGTAAATGAGGCAGGAGACCTGTATGGATGACCAAGTCGCTTCTAGTAAAACTCAAAGAAAAGAGAAAGCTCTGTGGAATGTGGAAGGAGGGTCAGGCCACTTGGCAGGTATACAGGAATGCTGCCAGAGCATGCAAGGAAGCAACTAAAAAGGCCAAGGTCCACCTGGAACTAAATCTGGCCAGGGATATCAAGGATAACAAGAAGGGCTTCTTTGAGTACATCAGCAGCAAACAGAAGACTAGGGGAAATATGTGACTGCTGCTGAACAAAGTGGGTGCCCTGGTGACAGAAGATACAGAGAAGGCGGAGTTACCGAATGCCTTCTTTGCTTCAGTCCTCACTGCCCAGGCTCACCCTCAAGCTTCCCAGTCCTTGGAGATAAGGAAGCAAGCCTGGAGAAAGGATGACCTTCCCTCGGTCAAGGTGTATCAGGTTAAAGATATTTTAAGTAAGCTGGACACCCACAAATCCATGGGTCCCAATGGAATGCATCCATGAGTGCTGAGGGAGCTGGCAGACGTCATTGCTGAGCCATTCTCCATCATCTATGAAAGGTCCTGGAGAACAGGAGAGGTGCCTGAGGACTGGAGGATAGCCAATGTCACTCCAGTCTTCAAAAAGGGCAAGAAGGAGGATCGCAGGAATTACAGGCCGGTTAGTCTCACTTCCATCCCTAGAAAGGGGATGGAACAACTCATTCTGGGTGTCCTCTCCAAGCAAGTGGAGGAAAAGAAGGTGATCAGGAGTACCCAGCATGGATTCACCAAGGGGAAATCATGCCTAACCACTCTGATAGCCTTCTACGATGGCATGACCTGATGGGTAGATGAGGGGAGAGCAGTGGATGTTGTGTACCTTGACTTCAAGCGAGGCTTTTGACACTGTCTCCCATAACATCCTCATAGGGAAGCTCAGGAAATGTGGGTTGGATGAGTGGACAGTGAGGTGTATTGGGAACTGGCTGAATCGCAGGGCTCAAAGGGTTCTGATCAGCGGTGCAAAGTCTAACTGGAGGCCAACAGCTAATGGAGTTCCCCAGGGCCCAGTACTTGGCCCAGTCTTGTTCAACTTATTCATCAGTGACCTGGATGAGGGGACAGAGTGTACCATCAGCAAGTTTGCTGATGACACAAAACTGGGAGGAGTGGCTGATACGCTGGAAGGCTGCGCTGCCA